GATGATATTTGGTGTAGATGGTTGTATACTGTTGATGGTTTGATCTCTCTGTTCATCTCCTATGATGTGTGTACTGTTGTGCCTCGATGTACTATGGTTTTGTGATGATGGTTGATGGTATGAGTTTGTGATCGTTTTGTCTAGATTTGGTTGTGTTTAGCTGTGTTGCCTGGTTTCGCTCGGTTTACTGTTGATCCTCCTCCCTTTTGCATAGCCTAACCGGGGGCTTTTTATAGCCCCGGTGTTGGCCGTTCAGGTTCCGAGATGAGCGGGATCGTGGTGGGTTGTTGTCGAGTGCCCCAGGATGGTTCAGTCCCGGGGATCTCGGCCGGACACTTCTGGCCGTTTGGCATGACTGGCCGTGTTGGTTTCCCATACGGCGCAGTGCTATGAGACATGTGGGAAACCCTAAGGGTCTTGGGCTGGTTCAGGCCCAACTACTTGACCTGTGCACTGGACTGGATTCTTGGACCTGTACAAACACCAAAAAAAAGGATAAAATAAATAATAAAAACAAAAACAAATAAAAAATAAAAAAGAATAAAATACTATATGATAAAAAATGTTTTAAAACTTTATATAATATGTATTTCAAAACCATATATTATATAATTTTAAAAAACGTTTTCAAACTATATGTTATAGTTTTCAAAAACGTTTTAAAACTATATTATATGTTTCAAAAATGTTTTTTTAAACTATATATTATATAAATTTCAAAATGATTTTAAAACTATATATTATATAAGTTTTCAAAAATGGTTTTAAAAACTATATAATATATATGGTTTCAAAAAAAATTTCAAAAATTATATAATATATATGTTTTCAAAAAATGTTTTCAAAAACCATATATTATATATTTTCAAAATGTTTTATTTTTAGAAACCCATATATTATATAGTTTTCAAAATGATTTCAAACTATAATATATATATATATATATATATATATATATAAATAATAAAAAAGATGGACGAAAATGAGTGTCTACAATATAATTACATGTTTATTATATTATCACAGTGTTATTCTATAATAAGTATTTATGAAATAGATTAGAGAGAAAATATATATATTGATTTATACATCTATATAATGTATAAAATATGTCAGGATAAATGTTCAATCAAGTCGAGGAAAAAAATTCAAGTTAATTAAGTGAAAAGTTCTCATTTAAAATAAAATATAAATTTAAGAAATCATGCAAAGTTAAGAAATTAAATTAAAATTTAAAAAATTATTTTCAAAATGAATAATTGAATATATACATGTACTGTACACTGATTTAAGAGCATATCATTCAAATTTAATTAAAATATACTTAAAATAAAAAAAAGAATTGAAAGAATAAGGAAATCATGACCAAATCATAAAATTGTCAAATTACTTTTTCAAATTTTTAGTTTTTTGCTTGATTAGAAATTTTCAAATTCAAACATGAACCGAGCTTGAAATTCTAACTCAAAATTCAAATTGAATCGAATAACTAAAAATTAAAGAAAATATTTTTTTCGAATCAAATTGAATTTTGTTGTCTCTAATTATTTGCACAATTGAAAAATAAAACAAAGCCTCTTTTAGCCTTAATTTTGAAAAAAAAATGATCTTTTAAAAGGATTTTAGTTCGTTAGCTTTATATTTTATTCAATTTAACATTTTAATTTTGAATTTTATTCGATTTATTCCTCCAGCGTCAACTCTTCGTAAATTTTCTCTTCCATCATGTTTTTGACTCTGCATTTCCATCAATATTTCATCTTCAAAACACATTCTCTTAAAAAATAATATTATAAATATATTATATAATTTCATAATGTACACATTTAGAAATATAAATAATATATTTGAGTCATTTAAATTGAAATAAATCAATCATTATAAATAATTACGTTTAAATTTAACAAAATTTCAAATAAATATATTTAATTTGATTTAAAAAATTAAAATAAAAATAAATGTAATAAATAATTGATTAACTTAATCTTGTTCACTCCTGTCCAACTACATTTTGATATCGTAGTTTAAAATTTTAAATTCTTTTATATTTTAGATATATTTTTATAATTTATATAAATTATATAACTTCACCTAATCTGAAATTTTATAATCTTATACCTCTTGAAATTCTGATAATATTTTATGTTCGTATTCTATGACATAAATTCTTACGTCGGTTCATACACCAACTGAGATTTTATAAGTAATATTATTAAAACGAAGCAATCATGTAGAGGGGGAAAGGTGCATGAAATCTGCTGTCCTTTCTATGGAACATTAAAAGAAGAAAAAATTGTAAATAACAGCTAAAACACGTCTCTGAACCAAATGCCATTGGATATGTAAAAGCGGAAAATGAGGACATTTAATCATTTGGATTCGGTCAATGCAGGCATCACCATGAATCATAAGAGCAGAGCTTCATCACCATATATTCTCTACTGCACAGTGAAATAAATAAACATAGCGACACTTAATCCTTCACAGCGACAAAAAAAGGAGATCTACCCAAGATCATGTGTTGGCTTATTGCTTTTGTTCTGTTATGCTCATCAACAAGACGAATAACAAACGAGAAAAGAATGGCAATGGGATGGTATCTTTTCAACCTTAAACTACGACGCGTGTTGTCTTATTATCTTACTTGGAAAATATGATATCCCGCACGAAACCCATCACCAAATTTTGGTCAAGATATTCAAAAGATTCAGCTAATCGCCAATTTGCATGCTTGCATGAGATGAGTAAAACTCCACAACTTGACTTTCTTTTCTTTTTTGTATGCCTGATTTTCAAAATGGATTATTTGGCCAAATCTTTGCACCACAATATCAGATCATGATCTTTGAAAATTGAAACGTATGAATCTTCAGAATACATATACCTAAACAATCTTTGTTTGCGTCATGAAATCAATATTAACCCAAGAAAGATGGAACAAAAAAGCATAGTTTATTGTAATAATGTGATGATACGAACAAAGTCCCAGCCAGAATGAAGTCTGATAAGCTGATTTAGATTAAAAAAAAAAGGCTGCCCAGAGCTGGTCTTAATCGGATTTGAATAAGTGTGGTGTTGGAATGCAAGTAACGATCGCTGTCAATCGAAACCATATCAAAGATGTCATTGGTAGGCGTTCAAAGCAAATATAAGAGTTTAGATTCCCACCTTTGAATTAAATTGTGGTTGTTTCAAGCATCCTTATCTACCTGTCAGGACGGATAAAATATTGAGAAGGACAAAATTTTTAATTTCAAAATAATAAGAATTTATTACATATTTAATCTAAAAACGGGGAAGGAAGACCAATTTTACTTAAATTTAAATTAATAAGGACCTAAAATGTTATCAAACCAAAAATTTTCGGAGGGCTACGAGCGTCCCGTCTTTAGGATGTTCATCCATTGTCAGTTATCAAAACAAAAATGTGATAGTGTTGCATTCCAGTTTTTCAAATATAGTTTCTGTACGATACGACTTTGGTGGTAAATAAATTGTTGTTATTCTTTGAGATTTTAGGTTTGAACATCATAAATGTTAGGATATGAGGTTCGATATCAAATGATTGATAATCATTTTATCAATAGATACTGTCTTATACTTATCCGAGATTAATAAAGAAAAAGCACAATTTCCAAAATGAAGCTGAAACCCTATTTTAAAAAACAAAAAAACAAGTGACCCTTGAGTTTAAATTTTAGCTAAATGGTTGGTTTTTTTATGCCTCAATCCTTGCACTTAATAAAAATTCAAGAACTACATTGATATCGTTAAAAAAAATACTCTCATTAGGAACGAAATTATGTATTCGGAATATAGTTTATAATGATTAATTCTTATTCTAATATATTTAAACATGTATTATTTATAAACATGATTTATAAAAAATCATCAAGCTATCTTAATGGTAAAAAGGAATGTTGTTCTCCATAATGATTTTATGGTACGAGCAGCTGCATTTGTATGCTGTGTTTACGTTATTAATTAATTAAGAATATTCTAAATATATACTGCTTTGTAATTACCTTGAATTGTTAAAATATATATATGTAAACAATACTTCTTTCAAAAGATGTGTTCATCAAATGAATAATAATTCATAATAATATTTGATTTTAGAAAATTTAGAATATATATTTTTTTTTGTGGGGGAAGATAGCGAAATGGGTTGGATTCTCTAATGACATTTTATTGTTTATCTTATAAGTTGATAATAGCCATACAAGTATTTCAAGTTGATGAACTTAGCCGCATGAGCTTCTATCACCATAAAATGAAAATGTGTGAGGTGAATTAAATTACAATATTTTTTTGGTTGTCTCCATTTGCAAAGTTTTGCATTGACTAATTTGAACCGACTCAGGTCGTATACCTAGTTTTGGTGGGTGAGTCTCTCAACAAGAATTTTCCGCATACACAGGGACTCGAATCTGAGACCTTACTTAAACGATATCAAACTGATTACCACTTGAACCAAACATTAGTTAAATGACAAGATTTTGCTTATTCCAATCCGTAATAATATCATGCGTGAGAGAGATAGCTAGCTACTTGGATTGACTCACCAGTCACCACAATAACAGGTTCCATTAACGTCTACTGGTAATTAACTGGTAATATTATTTCGATTTTTTTAATAAATTAAAAGTGTATTATTATAAAAAAAATTATATAAAAGTAAACTTAAAAGGCGTAAATATCATAGAGTTTCACCTTATTTGTTACGTCTTTGTATTAATTAGCAAGTTTTTATAGCAAGTAAACTTAATTAATGTAAATTTAAATTATTTAAAAAACATGTCTTTTTTTCACTCATATTACTTCTTGATCCTTGAAATTTGATATTTATTCTACTTTAATAAAATAATATCGTTGATATTTTTATTTTTATTTAAATTTCAAGAAAAATTCAATTTATCGTTTATTAATTTTTTTTCCATTTTAGGCTTTTAGCATTATTTAAACTCCTCTAATCAACTTCCAAATACGGCTCAGTTCTCTAGTGCTCCAAATCATCGAAACTGCCATTTCTTTACTTGTCTTTCTTTTTGCATACAAAGATGATAGCTTGCTTGGAACGAATCGTACACGAAAACGACGCCGAGTGCAAACTCGACGACGATGTTTCCACCGTATCTAAATCCCTAGAACTCCAAGGTAGCATCGAAAGCGGCGATGTTAGCTGCTCAGCCAGTAAGGATTTTGGTGGTCTTTATTCGATTAAGCCCTTGTTTTCAATTAAACCGTCCGGGGCGGAGGATATAAGTCGGGTCGTTAAGTTCGCGTCGAGGACCTCCAATCTGACTGTGGCCGCAAGGGGTAACGGCCACTCAATCAACGGTCAGGCCATGGCCGGCGGAGGTCTCGTGATTGACATGCGTTCGACGGAGGAAAACCATTTCGAATTCTTGACAATCAACGGCTCTCCTTATATCGATGTCTCCGGCGGGGCATTATGGGAAGACGTATTGACACACTGCGTGTCGAGGTTCGGTTTGGCTCCGAGGTCGTGGACCGATTACCTTGGTTTAACGGTGGGTGGGACTCTATCTAACGCCGGCGTTAGTGGACAAGCCTTCCGATACGGTCCGCAGACGTCTAACGTCACGGAATTGGAAGTTGTAACGGGAAAAGGAGAAATAACGGTTTGCTCCGAAACGTTAAACCCCGAACTCTTTTTCGGAGTCCTTGGTGGGCTTGGTCAGTTTGGTATCATTACCCGAGCAAGGGTTAAGCTTCAGCCAGCTCCCGACATGGTGGGCGTTCTATTTTAAGAAAAAAAATAATTAAATTTATCTTTGCTTTAAGTAATGCTATTAATTTATTTAATTGTGTGAATAGGTAAGATGGATAAGGGTAGTGTATTCCGAGTTTGAGGAGTTCACTCGGGATGCTGAGTTTCTGGTAAGTCAGAAAGAAGGCGAGTCGTTTGATTACGTGGAAGGGTTTGTATTCCCCAACGGGGATGATCCGTTCAATGGCTTGCCATCAGTGCCATTGGACCCAGCCCATGAGTTCAACCCGAGTCACATCCCTCAAACCGCCGGCCTAGTCCTCTACTGCCTCGAGCTGGCTTTCCATTACAGCGACAGTGACCACCTGTCAACCGTAGATACGGTAACAATTCCTCACCGATGACTGAGTTTTGAGTTTGGCTCTTAACCGATTCCTTGTGCAGGTCGTGAGCAGGCTTCTTGGACGGCTAGGATTCGTGGAAGGGTTGAAATCTGAGGTGGATGTCAGCTACACGGAGTTTTTATTGCGTGTAAAACGGGCGGAGGAACAAGCCAAAGCCAATGGGTGTTGGGATAGCAGCCCTCACCCTTGGTTAAACCTCTTCGTCTCCAAATCGGACATTGTCAATTTTGATCGAACGGTGTTTAAAACGATGTTGAACGACGGTGTCAACGGACCCATGCTGATCTACCCTCTTCTGCGAAGCAAGTGAGTAAAATTCCTCCGTTTGTTTTATCAAAACTGCATAAACATATTAAAGATCGATTGAACCTTGAGGTTGTTAAGATTTTTATTTTATTTTCCTTAATCTACCCGAAAGAGGGTCAAATGACCAAAAGAGTCAACCACGTGGGACCTCGCAATATCAATCACCAGCCAATCCGAGCTCCCTCTTAACATAGTGATGGCTGTAGGACCATCTTACTCTGGGCTTAACCGTAATGGATAACATCCCTGGATCTGTTTTAGGTCGTGTAACGTTCATTACCGCCTCAAAGTTGCCCACAAAAGGAAAAATAATTCCAGATAATGATACAAAGCATCACTGAGATTCCTTTGTCCCAATTTCCTCAATTATAGAGTAGGATAAGATGGGGACCTATGGCATGCACACCTACATGTGTCTTTTGCTACATTTGGTTTTATACCTTATAAAATTTGTGATATATCTTTTCCAAATAAATAAAATCAAATATTAAAAAAAAAAGCTAAAATTTCGAGTAAATACTTGATTTCTAGTTGGCGTGAAAATGATGGGACATAAAAATGGTTGGTGAATAAGATGGATAGGTACATGAGTATGTTTGAACATGTATGGTTGCTGTCAAATGTATGTGTTTTCCAGATGGGACGATCGATCGTCTGTGGTGGTACCTGAAGGCGAAATCTTCTACATCGTGGCGTTGCTACGGTTCGTTCCGAAGGGGCAATCGGTCGAGAAATTGGTTGCTCAAAACCAGGAGATCATCAAGTGGTGCATCGAAGAGGGTCTGGATTTCAAGCTATACCTCCCTCACTACCAATCAATAGAGGATTGGAAACGGCATTTTGGGAACCGATGGTCAAGATTTGTTGATAGGAAGGCTAGCTTTGATCCTATGGCCATCCTTGCCCCTGGTCAAAATATTTTCACGAGGGAGCCGTCGAATGCCATAATTAGTAGGGACTTGTGATTGTTTTGCAAATCATCACGTTTATCATCTTCAATGTCCCCCCCCCCAATTGATTTGTGGGTTAGATCAGTTCCATTTGCAATTGCTCGACAATAAATCTCTACCCTTAAAGTTTCATCTTCAAAATAATAAAACTCAACTTGGGGTTTGGCTAGTTTTTAATTACAAATTCATCCCTTCTTTCAGGAAATAATTTAAAAACATATGAACTTAATGTTACATTTTTTTACTGATATGCGCAAATTATTATATTATTATTACTCGTTCCTTTTAAAAAATTATTATATCACTATTTTTTATATCAACAATTTATCTGAAAAAATTAATAATATTATCCAATTAGATTAACTTCTTTAATAAAATATAGTTTAGATGTTTAAAACTATTTTCTTCTCATCTCAAAATAGGGCATGGTTGATGTAGACTCTATTTTGATTCATGTCTGTGTCGTTCATATAAACCAATCAATATGGACATTTTAATTCGAGTGAAATCGAAGGTAGTAATTAATAATATTACAAATTAGGAATTAGGGAAGATAATGATAGTTAATTAAGCGTTAATACAAAATTTACGAGAAACTTGGAAATTATAGAAGATAATAATCAGCATTTTTATAAATTTATATGAAGAATCCTCATCAAGAAAACTTTTTTTTATTAATCTGAGATAAGTATAAAACAATATTTGATCAAATATAACTTTCAAACATTTAATTTTTTTTTTATCGGTTCATGCACGAACCAAGCAACCTCAGTGGTAAAGAAATTATTGTCATTCCTTGAAGTCTCGGATTAGAGCACTAGGAATGCCAGGAGTGTGAGTATTCAATGTCAAATGGTTGAGAGTTATCTTTAAACATATATTGTCTGTACTTACCCAAGATTAATAAAAACATTAAACATTCACATCCATGACATTTTTAGTACTCGAACTTGGGACCTCAAGGAATGACAATACTGAAATCACTCGGTTCATCTCCTTGAAAGGAAATACTTAGGAGAAAATGAGAAATTGTTGAGAATTATCAATGTCAAATAATTGAGATTTATCTTTGAACATACATTGTATGTACTTACCTCATATTAATAAAAATACTAACACTCACATTCTGACATTTGTAGTGCTCGAACTTACAACTTAAAAAAAAGACAACACTAAAACCATTCGGTTCGTACCTCTTTGACGAGAAAAACGCAGGAGAAAAAAAGAGATGAAATTATGTTTTCAACTATTTGTTCCTTAACCATGAGGTTTTCTTTAGATTGTTTGAATGTCGAAGCAATGCAAGTCGAATCTACTCGGTGCCTTTCATGTCACCTTTATCTTCTTTTCCAAGTTCCACTCATTAAAAAAAATAAAGGAAAAGTTAAGATGGGAAGGGATCCAGAAGATCATGATTTTGCACCAACCAATCATTGATTACTTCCTCTCGTTTAGTCCCATCTCATGCCAAGTATCTTCTGCATTTGTAAGGATACATGTGTTTTTTTTTTGTTAGGTACACACATAAATATATGTTAGCTACGGATGCATAAATTTATATTAAGAAGATAAATTTTTATTTTATTTTTAAAACATATCAATTTATAAATTCTAAAAGTGAACGAAAGTAAATTTTCAATAAAAATATATAAAAAATTAAAATATACTATACTTTTAAATTTTTAAATGGTTTGATTGTCCTCGCCCGCTATCTCGGTCTATCTCTATGTCAACTGATTATGTACAGCTCGATCCAATTTCCATACCCAAAAGATGATAAAGACTTGTGGCAATGATCCACTCTCTACAATATGCCAAAACATACCAAAACTTCGACAAATAAAGGTGTTAAATTAAAGGAATCGAAAAGCTATATATGAAAATGGTCCTGGCCCTTGGCTGAGGCTGACGAGAATGGTATAGAGGCGGTCCATCTAAGAGAAATTAAAGCTACGTCACCTTTATTAAATATCAATGATAAGCTGGTAATGATTTCGAAATAGGAAGGCCAAATGAGCTGATTGTCGCACTCTCTAATCCTTGATTTCAAAGAAAACATTGCATTTGATGTTGATAGTATTGACAATGCTATAAAATGTGTTAATTTTATTTTTAATATTTTTATACTAAAATTTTAAAAGATTTTTTTTCTAATTTCTTTTTGTGGTGCCACGTACTCACGTGACATCCCTCGCCAAAGGCTGGCTATACCCATATATATTAAACTTTATAGCATTTCATTAAAATATAATGTGACACCTGACTAACAAACCTAGGATCACCCTTTTGAAACTACATTATTGAGAGTGGCGCTCAAAATACTTGAAAAAAAAACTTATCTGTCACATCCCTTAAATTGGGACTGAATTGTAAGGCATTTAAACAATCTGATCTTTCGTGAGCTTTCAAAAGTGCGAGGACTAATGTGATAGTTTACGGAAAAGTTTCGGTAAGCACCATCACGTTTCAACTTTCTTTTCTGTTTTCTGGCTTTTTCATTTTGAAACATTCCCGCTCACTCACTCACTCACTCACTCTCTCTCTCTCTCTCAACTTTATCTCTCAACTATCCATCATTTTAGTTTTTCTTTGATTCATCACCAACCGTGAGGTGGTGGACGTCACGTCCAACACTATTGTGTTCGTCTCGTCAACCCCGTTTGTTTGGTGTGTGTTTGGTGTGCTTGGATCATCATTCTCCGTCGTCGTTTGCAACCAATAGAGGTTTAAATATTCAAGTTTCACTAAAACCCCATCTCCGTCAATCTTTTCGATAAACCTATGTTTGTATGTGATTCTTCATGCTTTAAAATATTTTTATATGTTTTTTTGGGAATTTTTCGATGATTGGATGAGGGTTCACGTGCCCTCGTGCACGAGTGAGCTTCATCCTGGCTGTTCAAACAGTGAACCAATTAACCTGACTCGTTGACTTTTTTCGAAAACCTCTATCTTGATGGTTTTCGACGTCCTGAGTTTGTTTTCGCTTTTTTTTTTTGCCAAATTTGACTCAAAAGCCCTGTTTTGAGTCATTTATCTATTTAAGTCATAATTGTGCTAAGTAACTTGTGTGGTTTTGGACTCTCTTTCTACTTTTGTGTTTTTGGATTGCCCTCTAGTATGCCCTGAATACTCTCGTTCAGTTCAATTCAATTCTATCAGTTCATCTCGAGATACACATAAATCTGTTTATTGATTTTATAGTTTATTTCTGGTTAGTTGATAGAATTCATATTCATTTAGGTGTATCATTTTTAGGTCTCCACCTTGCAGGACCTAGTACGACTGATCGTAGAAAGCATAAGGTTTAGACGGTATCAATTAGCTACTATAGGTGTGTCCCCTTGACTTGTTTAACATATTTAGCATGTTATGTTATATGTTGTTATCCGTAAATATGTTCATGAATTAAGTATATATATTTATATATACGAGTGACATATTTGACTCTTGAATAATGTGACATCACTATTTATTTGCAAGTTGAGGCTTTTCTAATATATGCATGAGATTCTCTAAAGAAAGCAAAATCCACGTCCTGATGCTTTATGGGATTTGTTCCCCGATCTGTTGTGTACGAGATTATATTCTCGTTTTGTTTTTATTTGGGATCCTCTATAGAGGGTAATATCCCCATTTTGTTTTTGATTTTTGATGAATTCCTCCTTAGAGGTTAACTCGGGTTCCTCTTCGGAGGGTAACACTCCATCTTCGGAGGGTAACACTCCATTCTGATTTCTGTTTTCCGCTCTATATCCACTTTGGAGATCTCAGGTTTCCTTCAACAAGTAATATTTTTCGTTCTGTTCGTCTATAGAGATATGGTTGAGATGAATTCTATATGATTTTATGATAATAAATATTTGTTTTACTATTACTTTATCATTTATTATTCTTATATCATGCCTGAATTATTTTTGCATTTAGATGATACACTGAGCTTTGTAGCTAACTCTGTTGTTGTTTCTATTTTCATATTTTCTAGATGTACAACCAATTTAGCTATCGGATGAGTAGTCTCGATTTATACCGTGTGAGGTTAAAATTTTGCTTTCAACCTCCTTAAATTGTGGCATGTGTTTATTCTGATCTCGCATTTGGTAAATATTTTTTTCTAAATGGTTTGTTAAACGAATTTTCGTCTGTAAATATTTTCTGAGGTCAACGTAACCACTTTGATTTAGTTGTAACTCCTAGGTTGGGCCTATGGGGTTATTTGATCCATAGATTGTAAAATACAAAATAATTTATAAATAAATTTTAATAAATTGTTTTTGTAGTTTAATTTGTAATAATAAGGAATTAGGAGGATGTTTTTATTTTCGTATAAAAAATTAAAAGAAAGATTAATTATTAATAAAGTAGATATAAAAATACTTATTTAAAAAAGGTTTTAGAATAGACGAACAAAATTGACTCGTAATTGATAGTTTTAGCCTCACAATTTTAAAAGTGAGATACTAATAAATAGAATAAAGTATACAAATGATATCAATTATATGATAATATTTTGTTGAGTCAATTCACTATTAAAAATTATAAAATGGTCCCTCGACTGTAGGAGTTGTTTTGTTAAGTCTCTCGACTATTTTAAGTTACAAAATATTCACTTGGCTATTCTTTATGTTCCAAACTTGTCATTTTATGTTAAAAATTAAGATCATCTAAGTTAGACGTTCACATACTAACTGAGATATGATATTATTTTAAGATTATGAGATAAGATTTTATCATATCTCAGTAAGCAGGTTAACGTACAACTCAGACTACCACCAAACTCTTAACAGAAAATGACGATTTTGGAACATAATGAATAGGTTAGTGACATTTTGTAAATTTTAATAGTCAATGGACTTAACAAAGTAACTTCCTAAAGTCGGATGATCATTTTGTAACTTTTAATAGTCAGATGACTTAATAAAACAACATCCTATAGCCAGTGGACTATTTATATACTTTACCCAAAATTAATTTAAGTTTGCCAGTAAATTTATTTCTCCATCTTAAAAATAAAATTGTATATTTTTTTAATGGCGTTCTCACTTAATTTAAAAGATAATTTTTTAACAATATTTTATTATATTTATGATAAATAAGTAATATAAATGATTTACTTTTATATTATATTATTTAAATAAACATTTCCATTTACTTAAATTATTATTATTTAAATCCCCGGCGAAGCAGGGCAAAGATTCTAGTACAAATTAAGAAGAGCTGAGCTGAGAACGTTTGGAGGCCTGACGTCCCGCAACTGGCTATGTAAGGGCCAAGCCTAATTAAAAAGGCCCAATAATCCTCTCATAAACTGGTCCTTTTCACTTGAATAAAACAAGAAGAGATGGCTTTAGTATTCTATTTTGGCCCTTTTACCCTTTTTTTTATCAGCATGATTCTTTGACTTTTAATTTTTGAGATAAACCATGTATTTAGTCAACAGTCTATTTTTATGTGTGGATAAATCGATTTCAATATAAAGTGTAACTTGATGCATTTTTTTTCTTTGAAGTATATAAAATTTTTAATATCAATAGTTGTTTAATTTGGACCAACGGGGTTGATTCAAATGGTAAGTAGCTTGATATCGTTTAAGCAATGTCGCAGGTTTGAGTCATTGTGTATGCAGAAAATCCTCGCACCTCGTTGGGAGACTCACCCACCAAAACCAAATGTGCAATCTGGGTCGATTCAGATTAGTCAGGGTAAAACCTTGGAACTGTAGGACAAAAAAAAACAGTTCTTTAACTTGGTATATAACTTCAGTATCGATGACTGCAATATCTTGTAGGTTAGATGTTCCATTGACATTTATTCAGATTCACGTATATGGAAATTGATCATATTCTATTAATTTTATTCTCGTAAGATGGTGATACGTGGGTCAAATACAACATTTGAAAACTAGATATAATTTTAGAAAAATAATTATATTGTCAAAATAGAAAATTAAAGACATACGGGTGACTAAATATATAATTTATCCAAACATTTAAAACTAAAATAGGTAGATGCGGGGGCAATGTCGGAAAATAATGACCAAAAGAACAGATTAGCCGTAGTTGTAAAGCAACCGAAACGAAGTCTACATTTTACCGACTCTTCCCTCTATTTAAATCTCTCTTCTGTTTCTTTCTTTCTTCCATTCTCCTGTATCAGATCTACTTAGTTACTCTTCGCATCAACAATGGCGATGGCTTTGTGGCTTCTTTTTTCTCCTTTTCTTTTCCTCTCTGTTTGTGCCAACACTCAAAGTAAGTCTCCCTCATCCTTTCTCTTATCCAACCTTCATTAGCTACTGTCCAAAAAAATTGAAGTTTTTTTTTTAAAGCTTATTTTGTTTGATAATGAATGACTACGTTTGACCGGTCTTAGTAAGCGAACTAATCTGCTTCATGGCTATAGAAACTATATATTTTGTTTTCATGTTTTCCGAATGCAGCCGTTATTTCTAAGCTGGATAGACATGGTATTTATCTGAATCTCAGGCATTGAAGCTCTAAAGCTTTGTTTTCTAGTTGGTTGATTTATTTATTTAGTTGAAAAGGAAAGAAACTTTACTTTTGGATCTGAGATTTCCTTCTATTTTGGATCTTAGAAACTAATGGCTGCATTTAAAAAGTAGAGATTGATATATGGAAGCTTGAGATCGAATTAGAATTGATCCAATCCTTGCATTTTGCGGTGTCTATTGTGTTCACATCGGAGAATTTGTGTTTTCAGATTATGATCTAATTATATAGTTATTCTTGAGTCCTAATGATTGAACTGTTGGATTGTAGCCAAAGTAACCGATAACCCTGCGGATGAGTTGGTGGCTGTGCTTAATGCCAATAGGACAGCACACAAGTCGTCTTCTCTTGCTGACAACCAAGGCCTGGCCTGCGTTGCTTTGCAATATATAAAGGCATACCAAGGTGATTGTAAAGCTGTTGGAGAATCCAAGAAGCCTTCTGATTCTGAATTTGCCGAAACTTTTGCCCCCAACTGTGGTGTTGATGCCTCAACCCTCACTCCAATCACTGGCCGTTTACTTGGATGCCGATCCAAATATGTTGAGCCTTCCAAAGCGTTCTCGATGTTGATGGAAAGCCAGAAGAGTTTGGACATTCTTTACAATAAGAACCACACTGAAGTTGGGGCTGCTACAACGGGCACAGATGGTGGGGGTCCCTATTTCTGGTGTGTGCTGTTCAGCAGCGGTAAGCATAACAGTAGCTTTGTTCCACAGGGAGGTGTGGCTAAAATCTCGAGACCTGGATGCTTTAGTGGTGCCAACGATGAATGCAGCGGTGCTGATGATTTATCTCGACCAGGTCGTATGTGGTTGTATGCCGTCACAGCTTTAATCGTTGCGGAGTATGCTTTCAGATTATGATCATATCCCGTAGCATCTGTGCCATTCGCCACTTGATTTTTCATTCCGGGGCCTGCTTCGATCCATTGCCTTATATCGTTCAGCATCTCTCTTAGGTTTCCCGGGGCAGGGCTGGTTTTATAATTTTATTGATTTGTTTTTCCCACATTGAGCAAGTTCACACTTTATGCCATTGATTTCTCCGGTTGTATGTGTCGAATTTCAGATTGATTGAACATACTTGACATGACAATTACATCGTTTTCTCTTGAAATGGTATATGATGTTTTGGGACTGGATATTGGTAAGTTGCTGTTGTACTATTCCATTACAGTTGAAATTGAACGTTTTGCTCCGTGGTATCAGATGACTGAAAATGCTTATGGCACCGTTACATATTACTCGGATTCGAGGGTAAGTGTCGAATACGGGTTCGATACAGTTATAGTTAAACTTTTTTTTTCTAACTGAACAAGAGTTTGAATCTAACAAGGATTATGGAAAGCATACACAGCCGGGAAAACACCAGTTTAACTGTATGTTCCTCCTTCAAGGACATGGTATAATTACCTGAAATTATGAAACAGAGGATCTCAATCTCCAGGACATGACTGAAAACAGAAGTTTCATGATTTATGTTCTTTACTACAGCTCTTTCAATTGTTAGAAATTCAACTTTAACCCGCCTTGTCAGCTCATGCCAGAAGTCTTGCACTTCAAAACAACAGCAAGAACCAAAAGCAGCAGTAAGACCCCAGCAGAAGAACCACCAACTCTATGGATCCAATTAGGATCGATGCTCGTAAAGCTTCCATCACAGCAGAGCGAGAAAGCGATGGCCATGATTAATATCAATAGCAGAAGAGGCAACCAAGAACCGAAGTTGATGGACTGCTCATCAGGTTCGAGTTCACTCACGGTTCCCTTGTTCATATAAAGGGGTGAAAGAACACCCAAGACAATCAAGCCTATTGCCGCCAGTCTCTCATGTGAAGAATATCTGCTCGGCCTAGTCCAACGACGGTCGAAACTCGTAAAACTCCGGTCCAAGTAAAACCAGAAAGCAAGGGCCAACGCTAGTAGCAGGAGCAGTAGAAACAACCACGAGGTGAAGTCCATGGATTGATCTTCGAGCTCCGGTTCATAACTCGGCTTCTGGTTGACGTAAAGAGGCGAAACCACAGCAAGAACAGTCAACACAATGGCCACCCATTTCTCAAAAGGCCTTCTTGATCTGTATGTAGCTATGGAGTTCATTCATGAAAAAACAGAGAAACCCTTTTGTTCCCAGTTCGTGTAGTCTCTATATTTTACCTTGTTTAAAAAAGGGATGTGAACTTTCTATCTGGATCGTCCAATTGGAATATAGTTTCCGGTGAAGAAAAATTCTGATCCAAAGGCCAAGGAAAATGGTAGAAGTAAAAGAGCAACCTCTTTAAACCCATGTCCCCCATTGGAATCAGATTCTAGGGGAAGAATACATCTGCAAGATTCCAGTTATACTAAAGTTGATTACACAAAAGTCCAAATAGATGCCGTTTGAGATCAACACTGTTAAAAAGCCAGTAAAGTAGAAGGCAAACAGTGGAGAACTTTTGTTAGAAGTCTCAGATTTGAATTAATCCCAAAAGATAGTATTTTGTATGTTTAATTTACAGTTTCATAGCTAAAAAACTTCCGATTAAACATCTTGATTGTGATGGTTCACAAGGGAAAATTCCAGAAAACTTGAAGCTCAGCCAATTTGGAGCACCATCCAACGTGCACAATAAACGATTCCATGTCGTGCTGCTACAGGGGAAGATCATGGTGGTGAGATCGAGACACAATTGACTTGTCAATTGTCATTCATCTCAAAAATAAGGGTAAATTACGTAGTTAATCACTCAATTATCACTTTAGTTCTATTTTAGACATTCAACTATTTATTCTTAAAGTCGAAGGTAAGCAGGTTTTCGTTGGAACATGTTAAGCCAAAGTTTTCAGACAAGAATAATTATTACGAACATTATTTATAAACGACGTGTTGTATTACTAGAAAATAAAGAATATATTCTCATGTTCATTGTTCCTTCATGTCTGATCCAATATCCCCCCACCCAGAAGGAAAACCAAAAAAAAACAAACAAGGAAAAGAAATCCCTCTGGGGAATGTTTCACTGTGAACAAATCAGCCCCTAGAATTGTTGGAGATTTTAAAGAGGAAAAAATGATCAACGTTATGTGGGAATCAAAACTTTAGCCTGTGATGATAATATGATATTATATGCCACTGTTTTCTCCAACTTTAAAAGCATCCAAAATGGCGATCACGTTCTTCATTTTATGAACAGTCTCTGCAAATGAGTTTTGCTTTAGTTTGCTCATCATTCACAACAACCCAGCCTCGAACAGATTTCTCCGTCTCAAAGACTCGTCAACGAGCTTGAAAGTTTTCTTCACAAGCTTCTGGTCAAGGGCATTGGTTCTGTAGATCTTAAAGACTCTATCTACTCGATCAGGGGTGGTGCTTTGAAAATACAACTCCTCGAATATCTTCTTTACGAACCTGAAAGGAAAGAATCATAAACAGTCTTAGATGAAAATTCCTTTTCATAAGGATGGAAGATAATAAAAAGAAAATGCTTACTCATATGCATGCTCAATCTCTTGTTTTCCCGTTGAAACGGGCTGGTAATCTTTGAACCACTCGCATACGTTTAGTGGAACCTACATGTCGGTCGTCAAAGACCACACCGATGCTAAAACATAAGCATCTTAAAATTTCTACCATTCTAGTGGCTTTTACCTTTAGAACCTTCGTTTCAAATATGTCGAATTTGTTGAGAAACAGCATAAAGGATGTTTTCTGCAGAAAGGTTTTAGATTAAGCAAAATTCCAGCCGTGAGCAATCCTTAATTATTAGACACACAAAGAGCATATATAGCCTAATAAGAACCTCAAAGCACGGCTGCTTTAAGACCCAATCAAAGAGTTCTTTTGTCTCCACCATCTGGTTCTTTTGTTCATCCTCGAAAAGAGTTTGATCGTACCTACAACCACCACAATTTCCAGGTTAACGTTTCTGCATTTTAATAACAGGCTCTGATATCGTTCCGCATACAGACAACAGAATTTAGAGATGGCCAAAGTAAAAAGGATCTTACTCGCTAATAGCAGCGCAAAAGATCACAGCTGTAACATCTTCAAATAGATGGATCCATTTCCTTCTTTCATTTCTCTGGCCTCCCACGTCAAACAGCCTGTACACTTCACTTTTCTTATTCTCCCCCACAGGGCTGCAAAGCAGACGTCATAGACGACACGGATTATTAATCAATATATCCTGCCAAATGCAGACAGGAACCTATGTAGTATCTATGATGTAACCATTGATTTTAGTCACCTTACCAAACCTATAATCTGCAGAGATCATGACACCTAATTGAGTACCTATTTTATTTTATCTATATCAGCATATAAATCTGATCTCAATCAGATTTCGAGAAGGCAAAAACATGGGTGCATTTGTTAGGCTAAGCCTAATTCTCGCATCAATGAATTTGCATGTGGAGGAGAGACTAAATATAATTCACCTGAACTGGATTTCAACAACACCAGTTGTACGAACTCTTGCATATAGAACATCCTCCTGCAATATTAACCAGATTAGGAAGCTGATTTAGATAGAAAATAATTCAAATAGAAAAGGGATAGATCCAGATAGGACATAAAACTTTCATTTTCAAGGTCTTCTTTATCATGCATGCTCAACTTGAGGAGGGGATTAAATTATTAATCATACATGCATTGATTGTTTTCATGAGCAGGACGTATGCATGGCACTAAAACTCCTTTAAGAATTAAATATTGCAAATTCTAGATACCTTTGTTGGAATATAATTTGCATCAGACAATCTCTGCAAATTTTCCATGAAATAATGAGTACAATCCGGTACTTAGAGTTCATTACCACGAGCATAGGTTTCCTACAAGTACACAGGGTGATTAAGTACTAAAATGTACCATCGAAAGGACCTAATTTGGACAAAATCAATAAATTCTATACACACAGGGAAAAGAGCACTAAACACAAAACTAAGCGATGGAGTTACATAATCCGCTTATATCGTTTATGGATAAAGCATAGTTACCTGAAATGCAGAACCTTTCCAGAGTGTTTCTATCTCCTGTGCAAGTTCTCTATTTAGACATGGACAGTCCAACCTGCTTCCGATTTCCGATAGTTTCTCTCCAATAACCTGGTATAGAACAGAAAGTTTATGTGATACCTTGGCCACAGATACGATAACTGATTATTTCAATAAGATAGACAAAGAGAAACTAATTGGAATGCAACTACTAAACTTTAAAAATACAGAATGGCAGATAAAAATGACTTCAAACCTTGTTTTCAACGGATAGAACATATTTGGAAGAATCTAATTCATTTTGGGCAAATTCCTTTGATCCATCATACAGTATCTATACGCCATGTAAAGAACAATTTAAAACATAGATAAAGATCGTCTCGTAAGAGAAATAAAATTTGCATCATAGATAACTGACACCTGAAGGGAAATAAACCAACACACCCTTTTCAGGTTTTGCATACTTTATAGTCTGATAGATGTTTGCATGGATGACTGAGATGCAGCTCTTTAGCTCTTCCTCATCAAAACCAGTTTGAAACAGAAGTTTTATCTGCAGACAAGCCATGTGGAATAAAAATATGGTACACATATCAACATTGTCAACAAATACGAAATTAAGTTCAACAAAGGGTTGATCAATCGGTAGAACCTGCTTAAAAATTGTTGACTTCCCAGATTCACCAGTGCCTTAAAAACAATGAACATTTCGATTATCAATGAAAGAACATGAAATTAGGAAAAAAAAACTATTGCAGCAAATCAACATGATAAGGGATAGTGAGTATATTAAGAAGCTAATGGCCATCAACTTGCCAAAGTCTTGGATGAAACGAATGAAAATAGTGGAACGCAGCCATCAAAAGATTATGTGATAAGAGTACATATCAAATCCACACAGTCAAAATACGAGAGTACATAACTCGTTATTTGCAAACAAATAAGGCATCAAAGAACATAATCTAAGTTGTACGCACCAAGTAATAGAAGCTTTTGGATATGCTTTTCAGCCTTTCTCTCTTGTTCAATTCTTCTCTCAATTTCCGCAGCCTGAAAATGAACAAACTCGAAATTAAACTGAAACCTATATATCATGTAAATAAAACCATACCCAGAGAATTTGGCCAGTTGTAACCCGTAAAAGGATGATAAACCATGATTGCAAACTGTGTTTACCTGTGCATTCTCCTCGGTATCAGCTTCGGCGTAACGACTATTTCTGCTGCACAATAAACCCATGTTCTCTAGAACAGTGGTCAGAATAGAAGGTTGGCGTAAATTAAGCACCAGAAGGCATCTTATGTTTCCTTGCCTCCCAAGTATTTTCTGATTTGGTATTTTAATCCGGCAAGGATTACAGTTGCCTCCCCTGCAAGAGATTCTTAACTAAGAAACCATGAAAATGCTTAAATGAACTTCATAAGCTTTCTAGCAATGCAAAATTTTCTAGTCCTGGAAACATGTATTCAATGGCCTTAAATCAGGTTATGAA